TTCTTTTTCTAGGAGCTTAAGATTCACCATTAGGTTGTTTATTTGAGCTCACTCTGTTTTCCTAGTGTGGGCATTCACTGCTATGAATTTCCCTCATAGAACTGCTTTCATTGTGTCCCATAAATTCCTGCATGTTGTACTGGTATTATCATTAAATTGTAAAAAATGTCTAATTTCTTCTTTAATTTCCTCTGTGACCTGTTGGTTGTTCAGGAGAGTGTTATTCAATTTCCATGTGTTTGTGAAGTTCTTGTGGTTTCTTATGCTATTGATCTCCAGTTAAATTGCACTATGGTCAGATAACATACATGGGATAACTTTAATTCCTTTGCATTTAATTAAACATGTTCTGTGAACTCGTATGGGGTCTATTTTGGAGAATGACCTGTGTGCAGCCAAAAAGAATGTATATTCTGATTTTGTGGGGTGGAACACTCTGTAGATGTCTGTTAAGTCCATTTGTTCAAAAGCTTGGTTCAGTTCTACTATTTTGTTGTTGATTTTTTGTCTAGATGATCTGTCTATTTGTGACAGTGAGATATTGAGGTCCTCCACTACAATTGTGTTAGTGCTTATGTGGTTTTTCATGTCCCTTAATATTTATTTTGTATAGTTGGGGGCATTAGTATTTGGTGCATATATATTTGTAATTGTCATCTCTTCCTCTTGGATTGTTCCCTTAACAAGGATGTAATGACCTTCTTTGTCTCTCTTAATTAGTTTTGGTTTGAAATTTACTTTGCAAATAAGATAGCTACTCCTGCTTTTTTCCAGGTTCCTCTTGCATGAAGACTCTTTTCTATCCTTTTACATTCAGTCTATGAGTTTCTTTTTGAACTAGGTGTGTTTCTTGTATGCAGCATATTGTTGGATTTTGCTTCTTAATCCATCTGCCAGTCTGTTTATTTTGATTGGTGAATTGAGGCCATTAACATTGATGGTTATAACTGATATGTATTGACTTATCATTGTCATGTTATTTTCCTGTTGTTGGCTCTTTTTTATTTTTCCCCCTCTCCCTTTAATTTCTTGAAGAGGCTTTTTAAATAGTGTTTTTTGGCAGACTTTTGAGGGGGCAGGTGGGAGAAATAGCAGGCTGATGTGTCCCCTGTAACCTGATGAACATGTCCTCTATGATGACAAGTGGGCTCAAACTGGCTGTGTCCCTGTCTGGGCTCAATCACTAACAGCATTTAGGATGAATTTGACCAGCCCTGTGGGCTTTTCTGTAAATGTATGAAAACCCAAATAGAGTGAATCCTTGATTTATGAATTCAATTCGTTCCTAAGGGCTGGTTGTAACTCAGGTTGGTCAATTGAAGGCTCAGGCTCCTCTACACAGCCTTCAAAGTCTCTCTCCTGTGTACAGGCAGATCTCAGTGTCCTTAGAGAGACACTGGCCCAGGATTTCTCAATTAACCCCACACAGGATGTTGTAATGTTTCTTTCAGGACTCTTTAGGGTTAAATCTGTATCTAAGACCATTGTGAAACACAAGTGGCCAGCATTTGGGTCATAACTCAAGACTCTGGTCATAAGTTAAAACTAAAATTCTGGCCATAACCGAAGTTGTTCATCTGTCAGGCCAGTCTTAACTTGAGGGTGCACTGTGCAGGTCTTGGGATGAGGATGAAAGAAACGGGTGTGGCACCCAGTGTCAGTGCTGAAGCACAAGCTCTGCAGCTGTTCTGACAAGGTTAGGGGCATGAGCTAGGGCAGGAAAGGAAAGGAAGGCCCCCACTGGGAAGTCAGTTGTGGACCCCAGGGTCTGGGCAGGAACTCAGCAGGGAAAGGCATGAAGGAGGACGTTGTGTCCAGAGCCAAATGAATCACAATTGCTGGAAGTGAGGCTGACTGTATAGAAAGTGTGTTAAATTTTTGTTTTTAGCTTTTCTTATTGAAGGTGCTTCTTTTTTAAATTAAAAAAATTACTAGTACATGTTTGCAGTGGATAATTATGGGGAGTTGGTACATGTACATAACACATCTTTTTACTTCCTGTTCCCCTCCCCTTCTTCCTTCTTTGAATTCTTATGTCTACATCACTGAGCACTCAGTGAGCCTTCCCAGGCTGATTTTGACATTTTAGAGATAATTCTGCTAGAGATCAAATTTATCACTTAGGATTATAACACTTTATCATTATCTTTGTTTCTTCTCAGCTCCAGTTGTGGTTATATTGTAAATGAAGTATCCAACACTTGCACAACTTGCAACAAAGATTCTTCAGGATTTAAATCTGTTTTTCTCAGCTTCCATATGCTGGTTGATATTACTGACCACACAGGAACCCTCCATTCTTGTAGTCTCACAGGAAATGTTGCTGAAGACACTTTGGGCTGCACGGTAAATAGCATAAAATGAAGAAATGTTTAGAAATATTTCCAAGATGAAGTGTTTTCATTAAAAGTATAGATTATTCTGGTGATTTTTTATTTTGTTTTATTTTGGGATGGGACCTGGCTGTGCTGCCAAGGCTGGTCTCAAATTCCTGAGTTCAAGGGATCTTTCCATCTCAGCCTCCCAAGTACTAGGATCATATGCCTGGATTTTGGTGAACGTTTTTTTTTTTTTTGTACCGGGGATCAAACTCGGGTCCTTGTGCTTGCAAGGCAGGTGATGGAACTGCTAAGCTAAATCCCTGGCCCATTTGGTGAACATTTGATAGAAGTTAATTCATTAATAAAGAGATCTGAAAAATAAGAACCAAGAGAGATTATGTAAAGGTGCAAATTTCCAATGATGAATGTCATTATATTGTATACCTAAAATGTACCAATAAAATAATATTTAATAAATAAATAGATCTGAAGCCAAGAGTGGTGGCACATGCCTGTAATCCCAGCACTTGGGAGGCTGAGACAGGAGGATTGCTGTGAGTTTGAGGCCAGCCTGGGATACATAGTTATTTCAAGGTTAGCTAATAGCGAGACCTTGTCTCAAAAAAAAAGATAACATAAAAAAATAAAGAGATCTGAGGGAAAACCATTTTGGTTAAATCACACATTGCTTTAATGAACACATAGTTATGAACTGTATATTAAAACCTCAGGTAATATTGATTATTATGAGTAATGACTGAGGCCTTTAGCAAAGTAGAGAAATAAACATGACTTTTATACAATCAAGTAAATAATGGGTAAAACAACATGCTGTGTGGGCCAGGGATGTGGCTCAGTGGTTCCAGCGCCTGCCTCAAAAGTGCAAGGTCCTGAGTTCAATCCCCAGTACCAAAAAACCAAAACAAAACAAAGCAAAAAACAACATGCTGTGGCTGTTCCAGAAGGACGGCTTGGTGCTATTTCTTCTGCCCAGCTGTATAAAGTCAACTACCTGTTTTCTCCCTGGTCTGCAACTTTAGAACAGCACCAGATCCTTGGAGGCTGGATTAGCAGAATCACATAATAGGCAGGTAGCCTTTTTTGTTTGGTTGGTTTGGTGTTTTTTTCTCTCTCTCCAGTACTGGGGATTGAATCCAGGTCCTTTCCACGGAGCTACATCCCCAGCCCTTTTCATTTGTTAATTAATTAATTATTTGTAGTACTATGGATTGAACCCAAGGCCTTTACATTGAGCTATATCCCCAGTCTGTTTTACTTATTTTTATTTTGAGACTGTTCTCATTATGTTGCTAAGTTGCCTAGACTGGGCTTGCACTGGTGATCCTCCTGCCTCAGCTTCTCAGAATGCTGTGATTACAGGCATGTGCACCACACCTGACCAATAGGCAGAGGTTTTTTTTTTTTTTGTACCGGGGATCGAACTCGGGAACATGCGCTTGCAAGGCAGGCACTGGAATCACTGAGCTAAATCCCTGGCCCTGTGTTTTGTTTTTTGGGTTTTTTTACTGTTAAAAACAGCTCATGAAATTTACCATTTAACTTTTGCTCCAAATTTGGCTTCCATTTTATTATAGGAGTTTTCCTTGCTGAATCCCTACCTTTAGAGATTCTGTTTATAGCCTATCTTCCCTTATCTCCTCTAGCAAAAAAAATTGAGAATTTTATTTTGAATAAAATTCAGTTTCTAGTGAGCAAGTGTGTTTCACAATGTTGTCAAAATGAGTTATCTATGTATATTTCAAAATATGTGTTTGATCTTTTTTTAACTAGGTAGATGAGTTTCTTGCAATGACGGATGAACAGAAAACAGCACTGAAGTGGCGATTTCTTTTGGAAAGAAGCAAAATTTATTTAAAAGTTAGTGTATCTTATAGTACTCTGTTATTCTACATATTTAACCAATATATCTACAACCAAGGAATATTTAACCAAGAAAGATCTACAACACAATCCAATAAATTAGAGACTTTTTTGTAATGTTGGGGAATGAACTTAGGGACTTTTCTCTGAGCTATATCCCTAGTCTTTTTTTATTTTGAGACAGGTTCTTGTTAAGACCATAAGTTGTCCAGGCTGGGCTCAAACTTGAGATTCTTTTACCTCAGTTTCCCAGAATGCTAGGATTACAGCTGTGTGCCACCACACTTGGCTAAATTAAGGAACCTTTTTTTCTGGTATTAAGGATTGAACCCAGGGCCTTGTAAATACTAAGCAAGCACTCTACCACTGAGCTATACCACCAGCCTAAGTATATTATTTTTAATTATGGCTGATTTTCAGATGTGCAGAAGGAGTTAGCTACTCTAGAAACAATGGAAATAATTGGATTTTATTATATAGTATGAAAGGACTTACAAATGACACCAAAGAAATAGGCAAACAAAGAAGATGCCCTTTAATGTTAACTCTAAGACCAGGCAACAGACCTTAATGTGAAAATGGGTTGATCCTCAGCATTACATGCCCACATGGGACTGCTCTTTGCTTAGTGAGGTGGTATGGAATGGCCCAGTTGATTGCTTAGCTTCTGGAGTGAGACACACTTGTTCTAAATTCCAGTTCCACCACTTCTTAGCCTGAGTGACCCTGAGAGCTTAGTAAACTTCTCTAAGCCTGTAACATTTTATTATCTCACAGTTCTGAAGGGCCAGAGGTGACTCCTGAGGCACTGGCAATACTTCAGTGTTGGGGGGCCATAGAATTGTAGTGTGGAAGGTGTAGAAAGTGGAAGAGGGAGTGACACAAACTCCTTGTGCTGCAAATGAGGAAAGCGAGGTCACAAAATGTTGCTACTTGTCCAGGTCACATGTGAGAAGACTACATACAGTAGGTGTCATCTCTTTCTTTCCGTGGTTCTCAGTGTGTTCTCTTATACTACTAAAAGTTATTGTGCTCTAGTTTATGTGAGTTTTATTTCCTGATTCTTACAGTATTAAAACTTAATATTGAAAAAATTTAAAAATATACTCATGAGCACACATGCCGTTAGTGGACAGAGCAGTGATATCTCTTGCCATGCAGCCTCTGGAAAACAACTGTGTGTGCTGGTGAGAGAATAGGAATAAAAAAGTAAAAACATTTTGGTATTATTTTTAAATAATTTTGATTTCACAAAGATTATAAAGCAGTCTTTGAGTGTGCTGTGTTTACTCTATTCTTACAAGAGGATTTTACCATTTTCCAGTGGTTCCTTTTCTTATAGACTCAAGCTTTTCTGAGTCCGTTGCAGACCTGGTCAGTGGCACCAATAATATTTCTAGGGCCTAGGTTTGAGGCCTCTTCTTAGTAGGCCATAGGAGGAAAAGCTACAGTTATACATTACATTTCTTCCACATTTTCGTGGACCTACAAAATACTTCCTGTTTCCCAGTTAAGACACACTCAAGTACTTGATTGGAGTCAAATAAATTTGATCACTTTAAATGGAAACTTACAGCTTTATAAAATTTACTCAAATATAACAACAAATTGCCCTCAAAGGGACATTATATCTTTCCAAAAATGTTTAAAAGATATAGATATAGATAGATAGATAGATAGATAGATAGATAGATAGATAGAGATATTCTGGGGACTGAATCCAGGGCCTTCTCCATCCTAAGCAAGTGTTGTACTCCTGAACTATATCCCCATTCCCTAAAAAGACATTTAAAATGTATTTAACAAAGATATTGAGCACATAATTATACTATACCATAAAATGTGATAAAGATCATGAGAATCAAACACAATATCTTTTTCTTTTTTCTGTACCAGGGATCGAACTCAGGTCCTTGTGAAACACAATTTCAATGGTTATAATCAGAACACAATATATGATTCTTTGAAATAAACCATTTCTTTTATTAAGTTAGTTGCCTCAAGTAGGTCATTGTAGTAACACAAAGCTGACTTATACACAGCCCAAGGGCAGTTTCATAAAAGTATGCTAAGGCTTTGGGGATTTAGCTCAGTGGCACCACACTTGCCTTGCAAGCACAAGGTTGTGAGTTCAGTCCCCAGTACCAAAAAGTATGTTAATTCCTTTGCTCAGAGGGTGAGGTTTGGCCCCCAAATCCTAGAGTTACTTCTTAGATTCAAAATATGTAATTTAAAAAATAAGAAATTACATTGGTGTTGGGTGTGGTAGTACACACCTATAATACCAGCACTTGGGAGGCTGAGCCAGGAGGATCACTGTGAGTTCATGGCCAGCCTTGTGTTACATAATGAGTTCAAGGCCAGCCTCAACTACATAGTGAGATCCTGTCTCAAAAACTCCCCACTCCCAAAAAGAAATTACATTGGTTAGCTAATGATAAAAATAAAATATTCTTATATAAATTAAACATTTTATATATTTCTCATATTTTAATTAAAAATAACTGCTACTTATAAAATGGTTCCAGTGGGGCTGGGGATTTAGCTCAGTGGTTCTGCTGTCAGCCTCACAAGCACAAGGTCCCAAGTTCGATCCCCAGTACCAACAACAACAAAAAAGGTTCCAAAACAGCTGAATGTGATGGCACATACTTGTGATCTCAGCATTCTGGAGGCTGAGGCAGGAGGTTCATAAGTTTCAGAGCTGTCTGGGCTACATAATGAGTTCAAGGCTAGCCTAGACTACATGGAAAGACCCTGTCTCAAAGAAACAAAACAAGAACCACAAATTAGTTCCACTGGAGGAATTTCAAAAAAGGTATTCATTTTAATATTTTGGGCTGGGGATTTAGCTCAGTGGTTTCGCTGCCTGCTGTGCAAGCACAAGGACCTGAGTTCGATCCTCGGTACCAGAAAAAAAAAAGGTATTCATTTTAATATTTTAAAACATATGGCCGGGTATGGTGGTGCATGCCTGTGGTCCCAGAACTTGGGAGGCTGAGGCAGGAGGATTGCCACAAGTTTGAGATCAGCCTGGGCTACACAGTAAGTTCAAGGCCAGCCTGAATTACATAGCAAGACACTATCTCAAAAAAAAGTTAAAAATATATAGCATTATTATTTGAAATCCTTTTGTCCACTATTGGGGCTAAAGAATAATTTCCAAAAAGGGTAAAGCCATGGTTCTTATTGCAAAAATAATGGACACATATTAAAGATTTAACTCATTAGTTAATGAAGGAACCAGTAAAAAAATTTAAAATTCAAAGTGAAATCAGAAGAACACATTGGCAGGCAGGTAGGCAGAAATGCTGAACTGGGTTTGTAGATACAGACTCTTCCACAGGCAGAATCAACCATCTCCCATACAAGCCTTACTTGGGTCTCCATGAGTAGGGCCATGCTATCACTACCAGCTCCCAGGACCTGTAGTCATGAAACAGCTCAACCAATCCAGTGACAGGCAAAGCCCCCGTGGGCAGTTCCGAAGGTGCTCTGGCTGTTCTAGAGCACAAGGCCTCCACCAAAACGGTGGTCAGTGATCTTTGTAGCCCATTTACAACCTTTCACAGTTTTTCTTGATATCAGTACATTTTATCTTTCTTAGTCTTTGAAATTAAAGTGGTTGATAAATCCTTCTGTCCTTCCACTCTCTATATAGATATTGGTGAACGTACTTGGTAAATGGTTAAAATAAGACATTATTATTAATAAATTGCTTATTTCCCTGTGGCCTAACAGTGTGTCAGTGCAGCAGATTAGTGTCTGTTACAGTTGACACCTTGAATACACATAAAGCCCTTTTTCTATATGTATGATTTGTAATCTCAGTCTTCAGATCTGAGAGAAATGTCATGAAAATGATCTGAAGTTTTACAAAAAATCACTGCAGAAACCAGATCTATAATTTTTCTACCAAACTCTACCTGGACTAGAACTCTTCCCATCATCTGGCAACTCTAATTGACATTCATGTTAACATTGTAAACAAAACTTTCATTGCAACTCTCAATTTGAAGTCATCATTAGTTTTTAATTTTATACATAAGTCAATATCTAAAACTAACCCTCTGACTTTCTTTTTTCTCTAGTTTGTTTTATCACCCAGAACAAGGGGTGGACTGAGAATTAGCATACTCTCCTGTAAGCTTGCAGATCCTACTGAGGCAAGTAGGAACTTATCTGGACACGGACGTGTTTAAAATTGAGTATCATTCTAAACTCTGGAAAAGTATGATAGTTTTAACTCCTTTCAAATGAAATGCTAGCTTGAGAATTATGGATTAAATTGTATTTTGTTTAAGTGTGATAAAATGTTCTATAAATTATCACTGTTTCCTCCTGGAGTTGATTTGGGGCCAGTCTGAACACTTGTCTGAGCACACTCCTTGGAAGGCCATTTCTGCTGGTTTTGCCCTGTTTCCTCCTAAGCTAAAAAATACTTATGTAGGTTAATAAACAAGTTTAATTTACAAATGTGAATGATTTCTTAGGCTGCCTTGCTTTGTCTTGGTTCTCTGGAAAAAGATGTCTCAAGATATCTTTCCTGGTGCATGGTAGTGGCTTGTCACCTCACAGGACACGGTGAGGGTCTTCCAGAGCTGGTGGGAATAGCAGCAGTCATGGGCAAGATTGGGCAAGTGCTTTGAACTCCTCCACCAAGCTTTTTAAATCCTTTACCTCTGTGATACACATTAGAACCACTGGTGCCTGTGAAAGCTTACTAACTCTGAGTTTGCATTTATAAGGCTGAATCAGCTAGGAGGAGACCAGCTTCAAAAGCTATGTGGGTATTGCCCAAGTCCCAGGAACTCAGGATGTCTGGATGACAGCCACCTTTTGTCTTGGTCTTTGCTGCAGCAGCCCAGAGCACACTGCTTGCTCCACACCAGTGTGAACAACAACCCTCAGGTTGGCCTTGCCCCGCATCTGGAAGGCTCCACCCACCTGGGTTGGGCTACCATTTTATGAGGTGACACGGCATCCAGTACAGGACTGAAAAAAAGGAGAAAAGGTGAGTATATGAAAGTCTTATAAAGCTGGTGTTGAGAGATAAACGTCTTTAATATTTTCTCTGGCTTTTACAGTACAGTTTTGGAGGAAGTATGTAGCTTAACCCCTACAGTGTTCAAATTAAGTTAATAAGGTAGCAGAGGACCTAGTTGTGCAAAATGGGTCTGAAAAAGTGCTTTCTTCTGTTCTCCTTTGGGGAGGAGACATGGGAGAGGGGACAGGTAAGGAAGGAGAAAGAGTGGTGGTAGAGGGGTCAGATAGAGAAGTGAAAGTGCAGATTTATACCCACTGTTGATTGATCAAGAGCACATATGGCAACTCCCTAAACAGGAACCCATTTACAGAGCACAGGAGTTGGGGAAGGATACTGCCTAGGTGGTGTCAGGGGCTTCTGTACTAAGGCATGGTGCCCTGACCTCCAGCTGCAGGCCTGAATGCACCAATGTGGGCTCCTAAGCCCACAGGCCTTAGCTGCTCTGGCTGTCTCACTGCTGGCTCCACTGCAAAATAGAGGTACTCTCACTCTAGGTGCACAGGCTGAGTCTCAGTGGGATCAGCAGAGGGCTCTAAGTTACCATCTCACTGCCATAGTGACCTTATCTCACTGGTAATGAATTATGAAAGCCTCTTGCCCCTGTCATTCAAGGGACAGCCTGATTGCTTATTTCATGTGATGATATTCCAGTCTGCAGGGCTAGGTGTAAAGCCACTGAATCAAAGGTATTTCAAAAAACTTAACTTACACATTTTATGAAATGAAGATTACAAAGCAGTCATCTAAACTTCAGTTGTAGATTAGCCAGAATCCAAGCCCTCAAAAAGTAGTAAGTATCCCCACATCAATACAAAGTACACCATTTCCATTCCACTCTCCCGGAGCTTCTTTCCTCATATCAGCCTCTTTTTTTTTTTATTTTGTTTTGTTTTGTTTTTGAGACAGGGTCTTGCTATGTAGCCCAGGCTGGCCTCAAACTCACAGCAATCCTTACACCTCAGCCTTCCAAGTGCTGGGATTACATGCATGCACCACCATCCCTGGCTAGCCTCTTTTGAACTGTAAGTTTTATATTACTTTTTATAAAAAACTGAGTGACTGTCTGATTTTTCCTAATCTTCTAATAGGTTTCATGTCAATAGATTTTCCTTTCCAAATTCTACTTTGGTAAATTTATTGGTTCAATACTCTGCACACAGCGAAAACACAGTACAGTATCTACATTTTCTATCTATTACTTATTTTGAGGAATCATTTTTTTTTGCATCTAAATATGTTTATTTTAAATTTTACTTTAGTTATAGAAAAATTAGAAAATAATAGATGACAAAAGAAGAAAATCCATAATATCCCATCCCACATTTAAAAACTGATAGTACATTTCTTATAAAATATACATAACATAAAACTACCATTTTAACTATTTTTAAGTATCTAATTCAATGGCATTACTTACATCCATTAGTACTGTCCATTTCCAGACTTTTTACTTCATTCCATACTGAAACTCTGCACCAATTTATAATAAATCCCTATTCTTCCCTCCTCTCAGCCTCAGGTAGCCTCTAATATACTTTTATGTCTCTATGAATTGAATTATTCCAGGTATCTAAGGATATTTGACCTTTTGTAACTGGTTTCTTTCATTAGCATACTGTTTTTGAGATTCATCTATCTTGTAGGTAGGTGGATTGCTTTAAATGGATTGACCACATTTTGTTTATTCATTTCCTGATGACATTTGGGTTTTTTTCCAGGCTCTTGTCTAATAAGAATAATGGTGCTCTGAGAGGGGCTGCAGTGGCATACACCTGTAGTCCCACCTACTCAGGAGGCTAAGCCAGAAGGGTTCCTTGAGCCCAGGAATTTTAAGCCAGGTTGGGTAACACATCTGTACAACATTTTATACTTTTGTATGTCTTTTCTGACTTTATAGCCCCCATCTATCCACCCATCTATGTTGAAACATATAATTCACAAATTATATTATCATAATTATAAACATAATTTACAAATAGTTTATATTATAACCTGCTTTTACACTTAATTTATGGCATTTTCCACATCATTAAATATTTTACATAATTAATGGCTGCATATCATTTCATTATATGAGTACAGAACAGTGAATATAATCTGTCCAATACCACTGGACATTTAAGATGCTTTCCCTTTTTTGCTTTTTTTTTTCTTCGGTACCAGGGATCAAACTCAGGACCTTGCACTTGTGAGGCAGGTGTGGCACCACTGAATTAAATCTCTGGCCCCCTTTTTTTGTGTGTGATACTTGATTTGTACAAGTATTATTTTTATTCCTTATTTCACAGATGGGATATGAAGGCCCAGCTAAAGTTAGAACTGGAGGGCCAGGGATTTAGCTCAGTGGTTTCGACGCCTACTGCACAAGTGCAAGGACCCGAGTTCAATCGTTCAATCCCTGGTACCAAAAATAATAATAATAATAATAATAAAGTTAGAACTGGAGGTTGCTGAGTCAGGGGGTTCTATAGCTGCAGGTTCAAGCTGATCTGCTGTATCCAGGCTGGCTTTCAGCCCTGAGTGTCTCCATTTGGGGTTCATAACAAGATCAAAATTCTCATAGTAATTGTTAAAACCCAGGTTAATTTATATAAAGAGCTTAGACCAAATACTTAGTCCATTATCAACAAACATCAGGGGTTTTTTGGTTTTTTTGTAATTTTTTTTTTTTTTTTTTTTTGGTACCGGGGATCAAACTCGGGTCCTTGCACTTGCACAGCAGGCGTCGAAACCACTGAGCTAAATCCCTGGCCCCAACATCAGGTTTTTTAAAATTTATTTTATTGGTACTCTTTTGAAATACATAATGATCACATTCATCATAGGGAATTTGTACCCATATATCTTTTTTCCTCATTCCTCTCCCCACCCTTCAAACCTTCTTCCCCTCATTTACAAAAGCTTTGTTTCCATTTTTTTCCTTCTATAAACATCAGTTATTGTAAATGTTGAAGCTCAGCATTTTTGTTGAACTTCATGCTTGGTAATTTTTGTCAGAATTCTGTAGTTTGAGTTTTTTCTAATATATCATTATAATTACTTTTCGCTTTCCTTTTAAGATATATGAAGGCTTTAGCATACCTAGTTGTTTAAGTGTATTGAAAGAGATATAAAACGAACTTGACACGAGAGATACTACAATTTACACAAAGATGTGTCAAATAGTCTTGATAAAAATGACTGATGTTGACCTCACTATTAAGGAGGTGGAAATTAAAATGACCCTAGCCATGCTATTCAGGCTATGGCTAGGGTGGTGGGGTTGAGGGAGCACTCTCAAACACATTTAATCAAGTACAATTTGGTAATGTATATCCTTTTTTCCTCAACAATTTTGCAAAATGTATCAGAAATTTAAAGGACAAAGCAGTTAATTAGTTTCACTTCCCTGACTTACTAAGGAAATTAACAGTACCCAATCCTATTGTCTGATTTTTGCCTCCTTGTTTCTAAGAGTGAAGCTTTGGATGCTGTGTACCCTGTGGGGGATGTTGGGCCCTACACCCAGACAGCCCTTGTAGGTTCAACTGATCTCCCAGCTTTTGTGAGGGTACAAGTGTTGCCTGTGTGGGTCATGGGAAGGACAATGTGGGGAGTATTTTTCCAGTGCTCTCTGTGGGATCACCAGGAGGCCAAGTGCCATTCCTCTTTTTTCCTAGCTCCTTGCCTTTTTTGCTTCCGAGAGCACCCCTTCCACAAATGTCTCCATCTTTGGTCTGCTTCTGGGGCATATGAACCAAGATATAGCCACTAAAAAATGATATATGTATACCCATATTAACTGATCTGAGAGATGTTCATAATACACTGAGTAGATGTATAATGGATGTTCTATGTGTACATGTATATATTGTGGTATTGAGGTTGAACCCAAGGCCTTTGCACTGAGCTACAGACCCAGCTGTTCATTTTGTTTTGTTTTGTTTTTTTGAGATAGGGTTTTGGCTATGTAGTTTAGGTTGGCCTTGAACTCTGTATGGAGCCCAGACTGGCTTCCAACTCATGGCAATCCTTTTGCCTTGGCCTCCTAAGTGCCCGGATTACAGGTATGCACCACTATGCCTGCTTTTTTTTTTCTTTTTAATCTTTTATTTTGAGACAGGGCCTAAGTTGCCCAGGCTGGGCCTGAATTTGTGATCCTTCTGCCTCAGCCTCCTAAAGTGCTGGAATTACAGACCTGTGCCACTATGCCTCGCTGCTCATTATAAAATAGATCCCCGACAAACGCACACACATAAAACCCCTCTATCCACTAATATAATATGGAGTTATTAAGTGTGATTAACGAATGGCAATTGTTGAATCTAGTGAAAAGTATTTGGATTTCATTGTACTAATCTTTCAATTTTTTCATAGGTTTAAATTTATTCAAAGTAAACTAGAGAAAAATATATCTCTGGGCACTAGGATTACTTTAGCAACCTCAGGAACTGTGGGAATTGGCCTGTTTTTGAATTTTGTATCCAAGGACTTTGTGTGCTACACTTCCAATGCTGGTATCAAATGTTTCTGACAAAGCTTGCTCTACCACCTGGTGGACACTGACCTCTGGGGCACTACACACTCTGGGTGCTGTCATATGCTTTCTCCTGGGGCTACATGTAAGCACTGCTTTTACCTTATACCTTCAGCTTGCTTAATTAAATGGTCTATCAGCTTGGACATATCTCAGCTGAACTTTGTACCTGGCTAACTAGATTAACAGTGTATTTTCAATGTGATCCAACTTTTCCACTTAGGGGAAACTAGCCAAAGGAATTAACAAATGTGCTGATTCTACTAGGAAATAATCAGACAATCCCAATGAACAAAACTGGACTGACCTCAGGATCTTACATAATCAATGAAAACAATACTGCATATATGACAGATATGAAAAGGACAGTCAATGTACAGTGCAAAAAGCAAGTTAGAAAATTGTATGATGTGGGCAAATCTAAAAAAATTACACCCACAGATTTGGAATATAAAAACGTTTAACTTTGACAGAGCAAATGGAATTTTAGGTTTTTGTCCTTTTTGCTTATCTGTATTTCCTGATTCATCTGTAATAAAAGTCTCACTAAAAAAAAAAATCATTAAAAGGCTGTGGGCCAGGGATTTAGCTCAGTGGTGCTGCCATCTGCCTCACAAGTGCAAGGTCCTGAGTTTGATCCCTGGTACCAAAAAAAAAAATGCTTAGTGTGGTTTTGCACATCTGTGATCCCAGAACTTGGGAGGCAGGGGCACAGGACTGTCACAAGTTCAAGGCCAGCCTAAACTACATAGAGACCTTATCTTTAAAAAAGAAAAAATCATTAAAAGATAAAATACACAAATTATGGAACTTCCTTATAATAAAAACTTGAACATGGGATTATATAACACCTGAACATTTAAATCTTCTTACATATCTATTTACAAAATGCAACCTGCATTGTGGCCAAGACTTCAGGTTCTAGGCTTGGGACAGATAGGCTACATCTTGACTCTGTCTCAGAACCTTAGGCAGGCTTCCTAGACTTTGACTCTGTCTTCATCTATGTAAGGGAGATAGTAGCAATATCAACCTCACAGCTTTGTTGAGGGTCACATATGTGGAAACATAACAAACTATACTTGGCACAATGTCTAGCAGTATTGAGTGCCTGATAGATTATTAGTAAGATGTTCTGCAAAGGACCAGAAGATGTCTGCTGCATACATTTGACTGCAGGTAAATCTTGTCTAAGCCTAGAGGACTCCACTGGCCCCTCTGACAGCTATTCTGGGCATACTGCCTTGGTTTCAAAAGGGTGCAAACAAAAGCAAAAGCAGCACTCCCAGGCCATTCAACTTCCTGGAACCTTCTCCAGTTGGGAGGTGGAGGTGAAGGTGGTGGTGAACTCTTTAAACAGAGCACAAAGAAAAAAAAACCCAAAAAAACAGAGCACAAAGCCAAGGAAGCCAAAGGTCAAAGACCAAAGTCTGACACCCCACAAGGAAGAAGTATCCCTGCTGGCATCTACTGGGAAAAGAAAGTACTGTATACTTTTAAGACACACAAAAGGAAGCTATTTATTTGGAAAATAATATATTCAAAATCATCTCCCAAATTCAATATACAGGCCAGGACAGATACTCTTAAGTAACCAGGAAAGGCCTTAAACCAACTGTTCATTTAACAAAACTTGAACTGATTATGTAGTGTTTTTCCCTATTTTCCTGAAATTAATCCCATTAATTTAATGGGTCTAGGATGGGCCAGTAATTTGGAATTTATTTTTATAAATATCCCTAGATGACTATCAAGTCCAAGGAAATTTGGAAAACACTGACATAGAACATAACTTTTAGTTTCCTTTGGAGATTTGTCTTGAACCACTGATCCCAGAATAACTCACTAAAAACTCTCAGTTCAGTTTTAGAGAAGAAAACTTAAAACTTTGAAGGTTTGGTTCCATACATTCTCTTCCTAGGATGCATCACAAATCCTTTGTTTTGGTTGTTCCCATTTCTGTCCCAGCTCTTCCAGAACATGTTTTTCCTGAAGGGTCTATTTTCCGTGATTGAAGATTAACAATTCAATCAAATCATTCTGTACAAGTGTTTTCTACTGAAAGATTGTCATATTTAATAACCTCTGCATGCTTCTGTCTTGCTCCCTTCTCTCTTGACATTTAAGAAGTCAGGGCATCTTGTACTGACTCAATATTCTGACTTTCCACCTTAAACCTCATACTGATCACCCCGTCTATGCCAGCCTCCATCTCATCGTTTTCTTTAACTGGCCCAACTCCCTTTGGCGACCCTGTCAAGATAAGGTCTCCTTCTTCCAAGGTTATTATCTTAGAAACATAGCTGATGATGTAGGGGATGGAAAAGATCATAGAGGATGTCTCGCCCTCCTGCCTGAGTTCGCCATTGACCTTGAGCCACAGTCTCAGGGCGTGAGGGTCAGGGATCTTCTCTTTGGGTACGAAGGCGCTGACCGGGCAGGACGACGTGAAGCTTTTGGCCAGGGTCCAGGGCAGTCCTTTTTTCTTGCACTCGTCCTGCACGTCCCTGGCGGTCATGTCCAGACATAGGGCGTACCCGGCCACATAGTCCGTGGCGGCGGCCTCCGGGACAGCGCGGGCGCGCCGGCCCATAATCACACCCAGCTCCAGCTCGTGATGCAGGACGCGGCAGTAGGAGGGTACCAGCACCGGCGTGCCCTCGGGCGCGTACGCGGTGGATGGCTTCAGGAAGATAACGGGCTCTCGGAGCACTGTGCTGCCCATCTCCCGGACGTGGTCCGCATAGTTTCTCCCCACACAGACGATGTTCTTACCCCATTCCCAGAAGCGGGACAACGGCCTAGAGCCTGCCATGGCGCAGTCCTGGGTCACGTGGTCACCCCTTCCCTCGCCTACGGCAACCCAGAGAGGACGAGCTGCTTCCGAACGCTGTCTCGTCAGCGACTGCCCGTCCTACCTTTAGGGGCTCCTGGGTGGTGCTGTACGCTAGCTGCTTCGGAACGCCAGCCCCGGCCCGGAGAAATACTGAAGTTCCCGTGGACCTCCCCCTCAACTTCGCCCCACGGTCCCAGACTCGGCTCCAGGCCCGCTGTCCGGGGAAGGAGGTGGGGTTTCGTTGGACTGGAACGCAGTGATTGGCTGGGAGTGGTACTGGGCGGGGCGAGAAGGCGGTGGAGCGCTAGTTGGCTGGAGGTAATGATGGGCGGGCGCTGGCTCACTGGGGGCGGTGCTGGGCGGGCACTGGTTGATTGGGGGCGGTGCTAGGCGGGCGCTGATTGGCTGTGGCGGCCGACGCCCGTGTCTCTACCAGATGCCCGGCAGTGTCGCCCCGCGGGTCATGGTGTACGGCCGTGGGCTACTCTGCCTCCGGAGCCTCGCCGCGCTAGGAGCTGCCTGCGCGCGCCGCGGCTTGGGTAGGTGCGCCAGGGCACTGCCGGGCATCGGTTGAGTGCGCCGACGCCGTCTCCTGGGCGCAGGAGCCGACCGCCGTCGGGCCTGGCGAGGAACGGGGCCGCGGAGAGGTCGGCGGGCGGGTGGGCACCTGGTCCCTTCTCTTGCGGCCCCAGCCTTTGCGGTAACAGCGAGTCACCGCGCCCGGAAGCTGGCAACCCCGAGCCCGGCCCTTTCCCGAATTTCGCTGAAAGCAGTCACGGTTCTGGAGTGCGTGACACACCCTTGCTGAGGAAAGAGCCAGCTTGTTGAGGTTCCCCAGAACTACAGGCCTTTGCATTAGGGACACCCTTCAGTGTCGCAGCTGAAAGCTTTTCCATCAGGAGCCAGGCAGAGGGTCCATGCAGGCCTGGACTCTCATCCCAGGGAGCCCTCAGCTCAGTGTTTGGTGCTGCAATCTGCCCAGAGAGGTAGGGCCATGAAACGTCTTGATTTTTAAAGTATGTTGTGGGCCAAGCAAAACATGTCTGTGGGCTTGGCCTAGACTGCAGGCTACAGGTCTGTGACCTCTGCTTATGCAAAACACCCTGGTACCAAACCACTGAGCTGGGTTTTCCAGGCCGTGCCCAAGTGCGTATTTGTAGAAAAGGAATAAGATTTCTAGTGGCATCAGGTCAATTCCTTCTTTAGAAATCAATGCATCTTCTTTAGGTTGTTCTGGTGCCTTGGGTAGGTTGAGCACTGGTTATAAATCTTTTCCTCCACCTGAGCAGTGTTTGTAATGTCCTAATAGAAAACAAACCATGGAGCAGCACCTTATTAAGGGGGCACTTTCACACTCACTGAGTCCTATTTTCACTCTCTGTCTTCTGTGGGGTGGATACTACTGGGGCTTAGGGAAAACCTGATCATACAGAAATGTTGATTATGCTGAGCTTAAATGTCAACCAGTTTGTCAAAAAGAATTGAGGGGCTGGGAACATGGCTCAGTGGTAGAGTGCTTGCCTAGTACTCATAAGCCCCTGAATTCAATCCTCAGAAACACACACACACACACACACAAGAAAGTACAATTTGGGCTTGTTTTCCTGGCCATAACAGAGTTCATCCCACATTTAGACAGCCCCTGGAGGCATTGTCTTCCAGCAGGTCAATGCTGCCACTTTCTAGATCCCTTTTGGGAAACACCCCCAGCCTGGCACCTGACCTGGAATTTCACTGTCTTCTGCCACCTTGTGTGATTGAACTCAGGGCCTTCAAACTGAGCTTCATACCCGGCCCCTTTTTAAAATTTAGGGTCTTCCTAAGTTGCCCAGGCTGGGCTCAAATTTGTGATGCTTCCACTTAGCATCTCACAGTTCTGGGATTATAGGTGTTCATCACTTCTCTGGCTTTTTTTCTCCCTTTAAAGCTAAGACTCGTGTTGTTGGGTTTTTAGATTAAATAGGAGTATTTTTAGATTGAATAGGAGTTTCACTGGTGAGAATATTTTGGCATCTGCCCACTGGGTGGAGGATGCTTTTGTTCCTCAGGCACTCACATCTCCCCACCTCCTGGCCACCCAGGCAGAGGCCTTTCACTCTCATGGGTGGTGGTTTGGTACCCTCCACTCTTGAATCCTAAGCAGTGGTGGCCAACTCAGATTTCCCAGTGGTCTGTGCTTGACCCATTTCAAATGTCTGCCATTCAGGGGCAAATACTATTTTCTCCTGTGGCTGGAGGCTGAGAAGGGCTATGAATAACTATGCAGGACTCAGGTATGTCAGCCCAGAAGTGACCTGCTGTGCTCAAGAATAAACAGCCCAGCTCTGGCACCTTCTCCCAGTACCACAAAGGTCCCCTCAATAATGGTTTGCATCATGCTAAAGCTGGCAGTTCTGTCCTTTCAGGACCCTTGAGAAATAAAAATTTTAAGTCTGAGACAGCTGGTTTCAACGAATGAGAGCATGAGTCATTTTCTACACTTTCCTTATGGATGTGGTGAAACCAGGATATTCTCTGTTAGAAAAATCAAGCTTGGTGCTGGAAGATGTGGCTCCTTTGAATTTTAATTTCTGGCCACTGACTTGAGGCTACATCCTGTGTCCTCAGGCCCAGCTCTCCTGGGAATCCTCCTACATCACACAGATTTAAGGAAGAGTGTGACTGTGAAACAAGGCGCCATGAAGATTGAACTACTACCTGCCCTGACTGACAACTACATGTACTTGCTCATCGATGAGGATACCCAGGAGGCTGCCATCGTGGACCCAGTGCAACCCCAGAAGGTGAGAGTCTCTGCCTAGACCCCTGTGCCTTGTCACCCGGCACCATGTCTTCCTCCCCATAGGTTACATTTGTATTGTCCTTGCAGCTCTGTTAAACCTAAGTGGAGACCAATCTATTTAGTTTTTGGAGAACAAACTGGTGTCCTTCTGGTACTGTCCAGCCACTCTGTTAAGGGAGCCCTTGAAGGGGTGGTGAAGACCATAGCCCTCATGGGGCAAACATAATGCTGGCCTTTGGACCCTGTGCCTAGACTCTCATGAGTCCTTAGACTTGGCTCTTCATCCAGGCTTTTGCCTCAGTGCTGACCTCAGAGCTGGATGGGCTTGGAGAGGTCCTGATGGAACTAAGCCACCAAGTTGAACAAGAGGGAAAAAGGCCACCTTCCCTCTGCTGTCCCAGAGTGGGGCCAGGGAGCAGGGGTAGGTTAAGGGCCAGGAGTGTGACAGATCTTTGTTCTGCTTTCCCTGTGGCCACAGGTTGTAGAAACGGTGAAGAAGCATGGTGTGAAGCTGACCACAGTGCTCACCACCCACCACCACTGGTAACTGCTGGGTCCCAGGCTGGCCTCTGGTTCTGGAGGCTCTTGGGGGTGCGCAAGGGTCTGTCCCTCACCTGGGGAGGGGCAGAGGCCTGGCTCGTAGTGTGTATCAGGGAGGGCCCTCTGTCCTTAGGTTTGTGGGCCTCTGAGGCTCTGACACCAGGGCCCTGAGTATGGGGTCTGCTAAACAGCCACTTCCTGGGGAGATGCATGTGACCTGCAAAGAGGGGAAAGGGCAGGGCAGTGTCTTCAGTGTTGCTTCCCCTGCTGTCCCATTGGAGCCTGGCTTTTTGGGCCATGGGAGGACCCCCAGCAGCTGCCTCTCACATCTTCTGGGCTTCTGATATGGGACATTGGCCTCCATGTTGGGGAAAAAGAGCCTAAACATCAGTTTTTTGGTTTTTTTGAATAAGCAGCCATCTTTCTAGAGTTTGTCTTTTTCCTATGTTTAAAAAAATATATTTGAGGGCCGGGAATTTAGCTCAGTGATTCTTGCGCCTGCCTTGCAAGTGCAAGGTCCGGAGTTCGATCCCTGGTACCCCGCCCCGCAAAAATAGAAAATTAAAGGATGAGAGAAGAGCTCCTGTTTTTGGAGTAGAGTTGCCTTCTCAAAGCCTTCCTTTTGCCCTTTTGAAACTTTTGAGGCTCTTCAAAGGTAAAAGTGTTTATCTGACCCTTAATTGTCTTTATCAAATGATGGGTGAGGACAGCCTTTGGCTTTCTCCGCCAAGACAGCTCAGTGCAGGGGTGAGCTGCCAGTGCTTCCATGGATGCAAGTGAAGCTCAGACAGCACAGCTGAGATGGTCTTTGGTATTGGTTAGTTGGGCCCTGTGGCCAGGCCTCTGAGGTTCTGAGCCATATCCTCCCAACCTTAGGGACATAGCCCCAGTGACCTCCTTCTTGTAGCTGTTCTTTTAAAAAATCCACTAAGGCCCACCTGCTGTGGTGCCCTGTCTCTGGTGTTCCTGATGGGAGCTTTTCACACTTTTCTTGGCTTCTCTCCTCTTGCTAAGTAGCCCCAGTCCAGGTGCCTCTTTCCTGATACTTTGATGAATTTTGTTTTTTTTTCCCAGCAGCATCTTGTGTCTGTGAGAGACCAAGCCCTGGACTAAGCTCCTGGGTTAAGCCTGGCCTCCTATGATGAGCTGTGTTATTTTTATTTTTGGTGGTTAGCATTATAAAAGATCAGTGATGACAAAACAAAATAAAAGGACAAAAAACTAACCAAAAAAAGCAGCAGCAACAACAAAATCAGTGATGAGTGGGCTGGGGATTTAGCTCAGTGGCGCTGTGCCTGCCTGGCAAGCGCAAGGTCCTGAGTTCAATCCCCTGTGCCAAAAAAATCAGTAATGAGTGAGAGCAAGGTGATGGTGCCTCCTTGTGTAACAGGCCTCTTCCTTGGGGCAGAGGGTAGGGCATCGAGCTCACCCTACTGCCCTGGGCCCCTGACGTGTAGAGGGAGGTATCTTGTATGGTCACTGGACTCCACCTGAGGTGTGGTATCACACACACAGGAATCAATGTGGGAATACTGACTGCTGTACTGACAGGAAGTAGATGTTCCCTGGTATTTGGCCTGAACTGAATCCCTGAAATGGAGCCTGCAAGTGTGGGGGCCACCCAGCCTAGCCAGGCTGGAAGTGGATTACCATTCAGAGGGCTCCTGGTGATTCCTACTTGCCTGGGATGATCTAAGTGTGGGCAGTTTGCTTCCTCTGCTCCAGAAAACAGCAATAACACAGTAGGGAGGTGCCTCACTCAAAACTGAGTATCAGAGATTATTGTTTTCATCTGAGCCAAATGACAGATACGAAGCTTTTCCTGTGTTGGAAGATGTGTTTCTACTTCTTTTTTTTTTGGTACTGGGGATTGAACTCGGGTTCTTGCACCTACGGGGCAGGTGGCGGAACCACTA